GAAAAGCTTCAATCATATCAGTCAAATTAAGCTTCTTTGGGAAGTCTGAATAAACTTCACTTACCCAGAGGGAGTTCATTCAACAAAACTAAAAAATGCTTATCTCTCATAAATTACTTTTACATAAAGAGCACAATATCAGTCCTATCAGATCGTGATAAATGTATAAGCGAGAGTTCAGAGTATAACATCCGCTATAGTTTACAATCAGTCGTAACGTTGTGAAAACTCAAATCTATAAGTCCAAAGCAAATCCTCTAGCTGATAAAACATATGGGGAGCGGAGGTCAAAGTCTGAGGTTCAGAGTCCACAGCTCCCCTTAAAGATAAAACGCTCACGACGGTCGGGGGCTGAAAAATTCACAAATTATTAACAAGGGTTTGACGCATGGCTATCATAACCATTTTAGAGCTCCATTTCTGAACACATCAGTAACCCGAGTGTGAAACGCTGTATCGTGGTTGAATTCAATCTCATCCTTGGACTGATCATCATGACAGAAACCTTTGGCGTTACCCAAGAAGTTTAGCTCACAGACATGTGTTTTTGAATTGTGTCCATTAGATGCGTGGATCTCCACACTTGAAGTTCAACCAGTACACCAACAAAAGATGTACTGGGAGCTCTAGCTCTTTAAGACATTAATATTCTCCTTAAAACTTGTAAAAATGACAGCTGCAGGAGAAACCTAAAACTGCACTGTCATAAAAAAAAAAAAAAAAAAAAAAAAAAAACTTCTATGGGTTTAAGAGGTAATCAGTCCACCCAGCTCCCAAATCAAGTCTCTTCAAACCGTACACATGCCTAGCACCACCTTTGTTCCTGAATAACGGCTGACAGAGGAATGCACCCCCTCAACTGTGAATGTCACTTTCTCATCAAGACCATGAACTTCACAGATGGGGGCGGAGAAAAAAAAACACCTCCTGTCCCTCAAAAATAGCTCCTCGCCCCCCTTCTCGACCCCCTAAAAACTGTTTTTGTTGAACTAAATGTGGTTTACTATTATGGTCCTTAAAAGGCCAAGGACACAACCATCTACACCCTATGGTTTACAGATAAACAGGGAGTGATTTCACAAAGCAGAACACTTCCATAACTTGTGTTTGTATGATGCAATACAAGCTTTCACAGTCCTTAGTACTTTTCTCTGTGATTTCCATTAAGGGATTCATTAAATCCTTGTAGGCAAAAAAATAGACAAATACAAGGTATTTAGCACCTGTGCCCTTGGGCTGAAAAAAAAAAGTTAATAAACCAACCCTGTTCTGCACACTGCAGAACAACAAAAACATCACGAGTATATCTAGCGCTGTAATTTGAAACCCTGCTCAATTACCTCCACCAAAGCATTTGTAAATACAAGTAATCATTCATGTTTAAGTGATTATGTGTCTGATTTTAGCAGGTCAGTGCTGCATCTGCTTGACATCAGGAAACAGAACTCCGCTTGCAAGCAGCCACATGTCTAGTGTTGGAAACTTGAGGTAAGGATTTCTTTTGGCTTTCATGATAAGCTTTGGCTGAATATGCTTATTAAAAGACAAAATAATTATATATATATATATATATATATATAATCGCGATTAATCGGATCCAAAATAAAAGTTTGTGTTAACATAATATATGTGGATACACTGTTTATAATTATTTTATATATATATATATATATATATATATATATATATACACACACACACACACACACACATGTATATTTAAGAAAAAAACATTATTTATATATAAAATATTTATATCTATATATTATATAAATTATATATAAACCTATACACAGTATATACATGAAAATTTTTATTGAATATATACAAGCATGTGTGTGTATTTACATATGTAAAATAATTATACACAGTGCACCCACTGTAAACACAAACTTTTATTTTGGAAGCGATTAATCGCAATTAATCATTTCACAGCCCTATATATATATATATATATATATATATATATATATATGTGTGTGTGTGTGTGTGGGGGGGGGGGGGGGGGATCAGGTACGTCTAAAAGTTAAATAAAAGATATATCTTCTTAACAGATAAAAAAAATGATCATAAATATTATTTTAAATGATTCAAGTTTTAGGAATTATTTTTTTAAAATATTATTTGCAATTATTTCAAATGTTTTAAATTATTATTTTGTTTTATTTTTACCAAAACATATTTTTACAAATATTATTTTTTATTTATTTAAAATGTTAAATTATTATTCAGGCTTTGTTTTATTTTTACCAAAAAAAAAAAAAAGGTTTAAAGTTTAACAACCAGTTATGGTTAACAGAATTTGAATATTTTAACCAAAGCTTTTTAAAAGACAAGGATTTATGACAATGACTAAATTAGCCGTGCACATTATGTGAAGCATAAAGCATATATCTCCAATAAGAACGTTTTACTGACAAACCTTAGTTTGCTACTATTAAAACACATGCCAACAGAAACATAACTATAAAACCACAAAATTAATTTCAGCTTTTACATCCAGATTTCCCAACATAAAAACACAAGAGAGAAGCCTAAACACACCTTCTCAAATAGTCTATTATGTTGCTTAGCTCTGTGGTTTTTCTGGTACTGTGCTGGGAACATTCGGGGGTTTTGGGAAGCCCGGCATTCCTGCCGTCTCTCATCTCAGTGAACCGATGGGGTGATGATGTATTCAAGGTGTAACACGACTCCCGCATGAAAGAGAAACAATTTAACAGTCCTGCCTATAGATCCCGAGTGAAACTGTACAGCATGCTTGTTATTCAACATAACTTACGCTATACGGGCCTCTGTGTGAGAACTGGATCACGTGTGACTGAACTAATCTTTATGCATGACAAGCAAATTCATATGCATAAGAGAGTAATGTGTATCATTTATTGAAGAACATGTTCATTTGCCAAACCAGTGAAACCACAAATTCATGCATGAGTACGAGGCATGTACAAGACAAATACTCAGACTTAAAACTGCTTTTCATCCAGGTTATTAATTATTTTGAGATGTTATACATCACGTTATCTAAATCTTCTGCCAATTTGTCTATTTTTGGCATCAGTCACTGATATTACATTATCTCTACTGCTGCAAATTGCACAATGATTTCATAATCACACACCGACCGTTGGAATTTAAGAGGCTCAGATCTTTTCTAAAAAAAAATGAAAAAAAGAAAAAAAAGAAAAAGACAGACCATTTTTCAGGAAAATCATATAGATACTGCCTTGAATATGTTTTACAAACTAAAAAAAAATTATCATTTATTTATTCTCGTGTCATTCTAAAATCTGGATTACTTCATTGTAATGGATGTTTGAGAATATATGGACGACTATTAATGTTTGAGAATGTATGGACACTCAGTGTCGGCTTTCAAGCTTATAAAAAAACAACAACACAATTTTCAAAAAAAAAAAAAAAACGCAAACGAGCTCTTGATTTTCATGTGAGTTGTGAGAGTAGCAATGTCCGATTAGTTAATGAATTGTCGTTTTGAGTTTGATCTTTTAATTAATCATCAATTCTAGTTCACAAAACCAGATGAACTGATTTAATGATCAGGTCTCAACAGTGAACATCTTAATAGAGGAGAAGATTTTAAGTTCACAACTTTGGTAGAAATTTCAGTCTGTTGAACTCAGTTTACATGACTTGGAAAACAGCATATGATACGTTTAAACTATTTTTATAATAACTTTATGGTGCTTTTGTGTCTTTTATGAATCTTGAAAGTCTCAGATGCCATTCACTTGTTATATTGAAGAGCAGACAGAACATTCTTCACAAATTCACTTTTGGTGTTACACAGACAGAAAGTTAAGGATGAGCAGCTTTTTTAGTAGAGTTTTTTTTTTTTTTTTTTTTTTTTTACTTTTTTTGTGAACTATTCCTTTAATACGATGGAATAACATATGGAAACCACACCTACATTTCTCCTCAGACGTCGATTAAAAAAAAGATTTTTGAATCAGCCAGCAACGTTTGTTGCACGGACACAGTCATTTTGTTATTAAATCTAGTCACAATAAATACATTTCAAATGAAATCCTCTTCCTCTGAAACGATGTCACTTCCCTCAGTAAACTAAGTTATACTCCACAAAAAAAGCCAAAGTTTGTCCAAGTTCGTAACCGAATCACGCATCAACTACTATCTCATACACAAACGGTCATAATCAGCTCGCGGCATTATTTGAGACCAAAGTGCAAGGAAATTGATCAAGTGTGTTTTTTGCAAGTAAAGATTAATATACATGGAAAACAAAAATATTCGCTGAAGCAAACCCACTTTTTTCTTTCAGTAGCGTGGCAGACCTGTTTGAGATTTAATGAAATCTTACAAACGTCCGACGGATTCAAACTAAAGGAATGTAACGTTATATTTTTCGCTAATTTTTTGATTGATACACGATGTTGCTTTGCGTTTGTAAATACGAAGAATCCTACACACACACGTCTGCATTTTTCTGTTTTCCAGCCAGGAAAGTGATACAAATGATGCGCGAGAATCCAATACATAAGATTGCATGAGCTTCAATTCTGCAACATAGCCCTAAAAACATGTCGCTATTAATGTTAAATCATTCCGCATATCAGGATTAAAACATTTAATAACTAACGTTAAGCGCGATACTAATGAGGTGTCACTGTCCGAGCGCGTGCCACCTCTTTAGCACGCCCAACTTTTGTGTTTACCTTTAGTTGGATTTAAAAACAAATGTCCTGATCCACACCATGCACTTGACTGTTCGGCATTATTGATTATGATTACATGCTTTCCGTTCGCTACGAATGTAAACCTTCGATATAGCCGAGTCGATAACAAGCGATCTAAACTAGCAATTCCATGTTTCTTTTTTTTAAGCGTTTGTTTTTGCCTCCCTCGTGCTAGACTGAAAAGTAAAACACTGTAGCCTACTCTTCAACTCTCTCTAGCAAACCAAAGAAACTGGTGGAAAATATATATATCTTTCAGTAGTCTGGGGGTAAACTTACCCAATGACAAGAAAGGTTTGGTTTCCATGTCTGGTCGGTTAGCTCATGCCAGCTGACGCGCGCGCGTTGTAAGCTGTCGGCGTCCCTCTCTGATGACAGTAAGACGGTCCACGCGGTAAAAGTGAAATGCTTTGCGATAATGTCAAATGTTCACTTTATGACACTACTTCTGTTTGTTCACGCTTCTGCTCGGCTCTGTCTACAACTCTCCAGTCCACACTACTGCAAAGGGACCCAGTAAAGGGGACTCCCACTAATGTTCACGCGGGCACATTTAGCAACGACGCGTGAGGGGAACTTTAACCCCTCATGTGCCGCACTGCCTGCTTACAGCCTTGAAGAAGCTTGTAATAAAAAATGTCATTGAATAAGAAGCATTGTAAATAAATACATACATACATACATGCATACATAGGCCTACATACATATACATAGGCTATATATATATATATATATATATACACACACACACACACACACACACACATATATATGGCATATATATATATATATACATATGTGCCACATATGCCACACATGTGCACACAAATACACAAAAAAGTCAGTATACAGAGTATTTTCACCTTAAAGCTGCAGTGAAAAAAAAATGAAAATTGCTGAAATGTCTTACATTAGAAACTACCTTGTAACTAATCACATTAATGTGAGCATATCACTAACTGCTGCGAAGCTGGTTATCTCGTATATTTTTTTGTTGACATGATAAATCGGGAACATTTAACAATATAGCAGGTGAATTATGTATACGATATTACAATGTTATGATAACCATGCCTTTCACCACTGACGTTCTGAGTTGTTCAAAGCGTTTCTAAGGATGCTGATTTTTAGAAAGCAGCTGTGTGACTCTGAGGTTGCGAATGGGAACGTGGTTTGTGTAACATTAGCAACACATTATTAGCTGTTTGATAACGTAGTCAAGCCAAAGGCTAATCATAGTAATTACCATTATGAGTCCGACGTTGTAGAGAGCGATACATAAAACACATTACCATTCTGATATATCGACTTGCAGATGAGAACGAGCCTGTATGAGTGAGTGCAGGCGGCATGAATACATGTTTTTTTTCACAGGAAAAGTCTTTACATTTTTTGTGATCAAAGATGAGTTTAAAGGGATAAAATTATTGACTACGGGGGGACTTTAAAAATTAATCTGAGATAATAAACTAAGTGCAACATAATGACAAAAATATATTTTTCGATACATATCTAAACTGAAATATCTGATAGCTACACAAAATAATGTCAAAATACTGGTCATGACGAGTATTCACATAAACACAGTCAGTTCTGTTTTAAGTGAATGTAAACATTTGTAAAAGAAAACACTTGGATCTCTGCGTCAGGTGTTAAAGTGACAGCAACCTAATTTAACTGCTGCCAAATTAAAAGTTAAAATTAATAATATCTATATAGACGTTTTTTCCCATGGTATTGATGTAAAAATTGTGGCTAGTGAAATGCTCAGTGGCTAGTAACTTTGGAAAACCACAAGCCAATGTGTAGCCTGGATGCCAGCCCGAACTCCGCCCACAACATTTTTTGGTCGGGAAGTTCGGTCTGGACTCGATCCATTGAGGAGTAATTATGATCAGGCAAGAAATGAACGGGCCAATCAAATTGCCAGGGCGGGCTTTATACGATGATGGACAGGTGATCTGCAGGGACGTAATCATCAAGTTATCAAAGAGCGCTTAACTGATTTTAATTCCCTCAGAGATGACTGCATCTGGAGAATTGAGATGTATAGATTCCGCTGTCGCGTCTGTTGTAAAATAAATCGACAGTGCATTAATTTTAATAGACAAACAGAGAACTGCAATCAAGGCATTTCTCGATCGGAAAGATATTTTTGCCGTCCTTCCAACATGATTCGGGAAAAGTGTAACTTATCGGCTGGCTCTGACGGTCGTTAAGAAGATGGGACGTAATGAAAAGCCTGTGGTCGTTATGGTTTCTCCTTTGGTCGTACTCATGGAGAAGTAAGTAAAAGAAGCAACACTCGTTATTTAACTTCTAAAATAAATAAAGTTAGGCTACGTTCTGTAGTTGAAAACAGCGCTATGCAAAGTATTTGACTTACTGCGTTGCTCTGATTGGTTGTAGGTTTACCGACTATCCAATTAAGTGCAGAGTTTTTTTTTCCTGGTTCGGTTAAGCTACGCCTCATAATCAAAGCCCAACGGAGCGGTATCCGACTCATTTTCTTATTTGAAAATGAGTATGACGAAGTCAGGCTAGCCAATGTGGCTAGTGAACAAAAAATGTAAAAGAATGTCATGCTCTAATGTGTCACCATATATATTTTTTACTTTCGCATAATTTTATTACACAATTATTAATGTAATATATGTGACATATTCGATGTCTTCAATCAGTGACAATTTTTCAGCTGCATTATTTTTTTACATTTAACATTGGTTGTTATTTAAATCTTTCCTATTTATACTTAAGCTTGGATTATATGATTATTCTAGTTGTCCACACTAGGTGATGCAGTAAGAGCTTGGCGAGATTAAGTAAAGAGGTCATGGATATAATATGCTGTGAAGGCTGTGTTGTGATGCCCTTGTTTTTTTTTTTTTGGAGGATGAGGGAAGTGATGAAACAATACTTTACAAATACTGCTCTATGTGCATGTGTTTACAGTAAACTATGCATGCAACCTCATTCCTGTCATTCATATCCATATCCACTAAAAAAAAATAAAAAATGAATCAATGTATCTGTTGTGGATGAATCCGACTTTGCCGCTGGGGAACAGGCCTCGAAGCCAGTTTTTTACAGCAGCATGTGGCACTACAGGATCCATATTAGCCCAGAGAGAACTAGGTCATGTATTCAATATTACACCCGGTCATTTGGATATCGTCGCGCAGCTTTATCGTTACTTCACACAGCTGTCTTAGCTTCCCGGGGACCTGTCCACTGAGTTGCGAATAGCGCGCACATGGAAGAGGCTTTTGGTGATGTATATGAGAATTCCTAGCAGCATGAGTAACCGTGGGCTAAAAAATGTTGGCGGCCGTCCAGGAGCAGAATACTTCTGAGGCACTGCAGAAGTTTTTTTGCAAAGCTCTCTTATTTTGTTCATGCAGATAAATGTATATATACATGCAGTCCTGGAGCCAACCTGGGGGCCTACGAAAACACTGCATCGCTCGCTGAGTGTTTGAAGGTGTTCTCCGCAGTTCGGCTGGGGGAATGATTCATAATTAATGCAGCGCACTGCGCATTAGAGATCAAAGCCGTTTGTCTATGCTGTGCAATAAACCTAAAGCGGCCGTGACTGGGCTCAGATGAGGGTGCGTGGATGTGACCACACTGTGGTGTGTTTTTTTTTTCCCCTTCACACCCTTCCGGGTGTCAAACAGACTAAAAGTCTCACTACCAGGTAGTTTAACCAGTATTGTCAGTTTTTTGTTCTAAGCAGACCTTTACATTCACAGTGGTACGTGACTTCATGTGCATTTTTCAATTGAGACACTCAGATTGTGACAAGCTTATATGAGTTGCACAGTACAGAGACAATAGTTATGCTCACTCTATGGACTGTACAATTGAAGCGTGTTAGTGTCTGTTGATGTACAGTACTGTGCAGAAGTCTTAGGCACACTAGTATTTTCGCCTCAAAGAAATGGTTTTAAGCCAGTTATTTATATGAATTTTGTTGTAGTGTCTCAGTAGGAAATATCAGTTGACATTTCCAGACATTAATTGTAATAATCCAGTGAAATTTTTGAATGCACAAGGATTCTGACAACAGCCAATGCTCCACACGGAGGTCAGATCTCACCATCAACGAGTGCATCTGAAATTATATGAAGAAACAGAAATGTAAATCTGGAAATGTAAACTGATATTTCCTACTGAGACACTACAACAAAATAACTGGCTTAAAACCATTTCTTTGAGGCGAAAATACTAGCGTGCCTAAGACTTCTGCACAGTACTGTATGTTACGGCTTCTGGACACCATCTGAACCTATAAATCAACGATGGTGGGTGATGACATAAGCCACGAGCCATGGCACAAACTTGTATTTGTACGCTTATGTGCTCTACATACAAATTTTTAAGTTATCTGAAGCAGAACGGTGGCATAATGATTATTATCGTTGTAACATTTCCTACGGAGGCACAGCAGGAGGGTGTTTTTTTTTGCGTAACACAACTCCAGAAACGGCGCAAGGAATCTCAAGCAGCCAGTGAAAGCAAATGATTAACATTTCACTCTTATATTACATAGATGCAAAAATGATAATCAACAATGCCCTGGAAATAGCAGCAAGAACATAGCAAGTTAATGTGAAATTGGCCCTCGCTATGCGCGGTCACGTCTCTGAACAAGACCCAATTGAAACCACCTACTGTGCATCATAAGCTCTGGTGATGTCACATCCAGTGGCCACCAAAATATTTGGACACTATAATGTATGAATGTTACTGTGATAGATAACAAAATGTCAAAACAAGTGACAATTATTTCTATATATATATATATAATAGTGGCTTGTGAGAACTATAAGTGGCATGAAAACGTTTGAACAGGATGACGATGTCCAATTTTTTTCTTATTTTGTTTAAATATATATTTTTTTTTTCATACTGACTGCGCTTCGGACACAACAGAAGATACATACATGTCCGCTGTAGTCCGCCATAGGCCGGTGTACTTAGGGAAGATTTTGTTAAAGTACTACTAAATAAGAAAGTTTTTCTAAACTGCAGAAGCACTGACTTTCCCTGTGCGCTTCATGAGGGATTTTGTGATGTATGACTGCCCACTGTAGAGGTCCTTTAGCCTGCTGATTATAGAGTGTAAGCACTCTGCCGTGGTTCAGATGGATGTTTAGCCTACGGCTCGCACTCTGTAATCTAAGACAGACACAACACACTCTTTTAAACGCCTCAATCAGCCTCTCTCTCATCTGCCCGCGAGACCTGGCTATTTAATCCTTTTCTTTGGCCTTGATTAATGGCTGCTTGACCCCTGACCTCCCCACATATAAATCTCCAAAGGGTGTTTGGGGTCTCTTAGGGCTTCTCACTTCAAGACCAATTCTCTCTCGCCATCTTCACGTGCAAGTGTTTATAGTGGAGCATCTCTATTGGATTCTTCGCGTTTGAATAATGCGTCCAGGCCTTGGGGGGACATCGCCGTGACGACCTCCGCCGAGGTAACACTGACAGTTTCTCTTTCAGGTC